AGAGCAAAAGGGCTGAATCTTTTACTTATACATAGATGATGTCTGTAAGATATTAGAGTCAATGAAATAGATTAGAGATTAATAAAAAAAGATAAATGTTTCTATTATTACCGATAAATAGTTCTAAAATTACGGTTAATTTTTAAACGGATCGTATAACGAAAGGTGCACAAAAAAACAAAAAATTAATTAAATTATTAAACTACATTAATTGTGAAAGCAGGAACTGCATTATTCGCACGAGAGTATTCATATTAACATTGCTTTTTTATGACTCGTGTGATACCGTTCGTACAGACAAGTAGCCGTGTCGCATGTCGCTCTTCTTCACATTTCTTTTTGAAACATAATAATCGCAAAAAGTGCTAGGTATAATACGAAATGTTGTATTTTATGAATATTCACATGATATAATTACTAGTATAATTAATTATTTATAAAGTACAACGTTTCGTATTATATTAGACATATTATACTTTGCGAAAAAGATTTCAAATAGTAATGTGAAAAAGAGCCGCACGCGACACGACTACCTGCTTGTACGAGCGGAAAGGGAATGACTGCGCGGTAACTATACGCATAAACATGACGCGCCGCTCCGTGCCACCCCGTGCCGCTCCCCCACTAAGGTCGCGCGCCAACCGCCTAACTGTCGAAATATTAACGTTAACGCATATTATAAAATCAGTAAAGTAATGTACTCATTATGTTTAAATATTCTTCGATGAATATTACACGATGCTTTATTATACGATTTATGTTTTATTTCTTAAATTCGTTACGCACACAACTCATCTATATCTTAGGCGGTATTCATAGTCAGAGCTTATATTCAAGACCGTTTTAAGACATTACTTAAGACAGTCTTGAAATAAGAACGGACTACGAATAACGCACTTAGATATCTCTAATTTATATATATGTAAATGTATAATATCAATTATATTTGTACCCATTATTATATTCAACCCAAATTGTTTTATAATTTAAAAAATGTTTGCATTTGTCTTTATTTTGAGAATGTATAACCAATTATTGATCTTTATTTGAATGTAAATCATCAGAAAGAATAACAAAGATTGAGATATAAAGTAAAGAAAGAGATATAAAGATTGAGATAAAAAGAAAGAGATATCTTAGTACACACCTTAGTTTTGAGCAATATTAATATTTGGACGTCCTTACGTAATTATAAATCATCAATTCGCGCTTGTGAATATCTAATTTTCGTAGATTAATGCGCGATAACCGGAGCGACGCGTGCCACACATCCGTCTCGCCGAGCGAATGCCGAAGTGATGACGTAGTTGACCGCGGCGTCGCGCGGCCCGCTCCTCCTCGCTCCCCCTCGCTTTTCGTCGCGCGATCCCCTCCCCCTCGCTTTTCGTCGCGCGACCCGTCCCCTCGCTGTTCCGCGGGCGCCGTTTTTATACCAAATTATTGCGTATAAAATATATTCACGGTTTATTCGATTATTCGTATTTTACATGATTTTGACAAACGGATATCGCCGTACATTTCACGTTTTGCTTATTGGCATCTCGGACACAATCCTATATTACTTGCATGATTCTTTTAAACTTACTTAGTAATTATTCGCGTGAGGTATTTTTAATATTCCAACATTAATGTCTCAATTTTCATTATTCTTTTTAATGATCCGTACTTAAACAAAGGTTGATAAAATGTTCTATATATATTCTTTATATAAAGATACATGCAAATTTCCTTAATATCGTGAAACAATATGCGTTAAATACTGCAGCTTTGGCTAAAAGTACTAAATATCTTGTTAATCATTTAATTTTTCAGTTAATAAATTAATTTAAGACACTACTGTTACTGCAAATTATCTGTGTTTCAAAAATTCTTCAAACTTACGTATGATGCCGATCATGGCTCGATAAAATAACATACGAATTATTTAAAATAAAAAACGTAAAATAAGTTTCAGAAACTTAATTAAAATACAGAATTGTAGAAATTGGTAAAAAGCAGATACGACTTGTTTAAAATAAAAAATATAAAATAGTTTCCGGAAATTTATATAAAATATTAAATAAGAAATAAGTCAGACTTGCATGATTCTTTTAAACTTACTTAGTAATTATTCGCGTGAGGTATTTTTAATATTCCAACATTAATGTCTCAATTTTCATTATTCTTTTTAATGATCCGTACTTAAACAAAGGTTGATAAAATGTTCTATATATATTCTTTATATAAAGATACATGCAAATTTCCTTAATATCGTGAAACAATATGAGCTAAATACTGCAGCTTTGGCTAAAAGTACTAAATATCTTGTTCATCATTTAATTTTTTAGTTAATAAATTAATTTAAGACACTACTGTTACTGCAAATTATCTGTGTTTCAATGACTGTCCAAAAAATTTACTTATTTAGTAACTCGAAGATTATGTTTTTTTAATAAGCATGAATGGCTATAAATTGAAAAGATACATTGCATTTACATTTTAAACAATGCATTTTATTATTGCAATAATAAAATGCATTGTTTAAAATGCAAATACAATATATTTTTAATTTATAGCCATTCATACATATTAACCCTTAGTACACACCTTAGTTTTTGACACCCTTACTACACACGTTCGGTCATTCGTGTCCTGGATTAATTTTCATCACTTATACAACTATATATAAATTATTAAACGATAATTACGTATATTTTGATATCTTTAGGAAGTATTTATGCAGTCATATATTTATAATAAATTATAGATGAATTGTTGTAACTAAATATATTTAACGAAATGAGAAAAATGCACTGTTTCATATAAAAACGTAAAATTCTGAAACAAAAATGTTTAAAGGAAATAGTTGACAAAATGAGAAAAATGCACTGTTTCATATAAAAACGTAAAATTCTGAAACAAAAATGTTTAAAGGAAAAATATTGTTCAATATCTTCAAATTAATATTCCAAACTACGACATAAGTATATAATATAGTTTTTTTTCTTGCTCATATATGTATGTACCGAAAAACGGAGTCAATGTTTAAAAACGTATATTATGCATAACAACATATATCTTTTCAATTATCGCAATAATAAAATGCATTGTTTAAAATGTAAATGCAATGTATCTTTAATTTATAGCCATTCATGATTATTAAAAAAACATAATCTTCGGGTTACTAAATAATTAAATTTTTTGGACAGTCGATGACTTGAACGATTTTTCCTTTTGTAGTTTTGAATGTCAACTTTAAGATATTGAAACATATTTTTCCTTTAAATATTTTTATTTCAGAATTTTACATTTTTGTATGAAAAATTACATTTTTCTTATTTTATTAACTATATTTACTTATAACAATTTATAAATAATTTGATATAAATATACAGCTTTACAAATACTTTCTAAAGACGTCAAGATACACGTAAGAACCGCTTAATAATTTTTACTTGTAAAAACGACGAAAATTAAAGTATATAATTTAAATAAAAAAATTAAAAGAGTTATTTATAGTATTCATTATTTTAAATAACTACACTTCTGACTTATTTCTTATTTAATATTTTATATAAGTTTCGGGAAACTATTTTATATTTTCTATTTTAAATAATTCGTATGTTATTCTATCGAGCCATGATCGGCATCATATGTAAATTTAAAGAATTCCTGAAACACAGCTGTCCATATGAGGTCTAAAAACGGTGAAAAAGTTTTATAAGAGAGAATAATTTGCAGTAATAGTAGGGGGGTCTTAAATAAATTTACTAACTAAAAAATTAAATAATAATGAACAAGATGTTTAATACTTTTAGTCAAAGCTGTATTTAGCACAAATTGTTTTACGATATTAAGGAAATTTGCATGTATCTTTATATAAGGAACATATATACAATATTTTGTCAACCTTTATTTAAATATGAATCATTAAAAGAATAATCAAAATTGAGACATAGTGTTGAAATATAAAAAATACCTCACGCGAATAATTACTAACTACGTTTAAAAGAACCATGCAAGTAATATAGGATTGTGCCAGAGATGCCACAAAGCAAAACGCAAAATGTACGGCGATATCCGTTTGTCAAAATCATCTAAAATATGAATAATTGAATAAATCGTGTATATTTTTCATACGCAATAATTGGGTATCTGAACGGTGCCCGGGAAACAGCGAGAGGTAGGGTTGCGCGGCGAAAAGCGAGGATGAGCGGGCCGCCCGGCGCGGTGATCAACTACGGGTGCGTTCAGGGAGTTCACTACCGCACTACCATAAAGTCACTAGATTTATAAAGTACCGCAATCCATAAAGGCCCGTCTACAATACACGGAGTAAGAAGTAAGAGTAAGAAATTGACCAATCACA